TGGAATTATGGAATTCCTGGTTTACAATGTGGGTTAGCTATCCCCGTACGTATACGTAGGTAAGATTTCATTTTAAATGCGGCCGGTAGTGGAAATTTGGCATACATGCAATTTTCTAAGGCAATGATGGATTTCGCCAAAATGTAAGTCGCCGGGTCTAATTTATTTCGATGTCATTGACATAGATTGTGCCAGGATTATTAATTATTTTTAAAATTATTTTTAGTGTTGTAATTAAATTATATTAAGGAAATTACAATGACAACTAGCGGCATCGCTGTGGATTCATCTTTATTACGAAATTGTCCAAATCTGTAGGAACTACGCTGACATTTGACGTTTTCATTTGTTTTCATTCAACTTATATTTGACAGCGCGTTGTGAGTTTTCTGCGGTAGTTGAAAGTTTTTGTAGCTTTTGAACTTTGTTTTGAACAACTTTCTAATAATTATTAGTGTTTATTGCAAAGAAAACTATCTACGATGGTTCGCCAGTGCATAGTTTGTAAAAAGGTGGACTATTCTAACCCGGAATTGATATTTCGACGGTAAGTGTCATTACGTTTTTTTTTAGATACTTTTAGTAGATTATTACAAAAATACGTATATTTTCTTATTTGTTGGCGCTTTCGATTGTGAAATTAGAGTTATCCACAGTTCGACCTCGGCAATTCCATGATTACTCACGGGACATTTAGAATAACAACAAAATTTCAAGAAAGTGTATTTTGTCCCTCATATGGGCTAGGTAAAGTTTTAGGTTATTATTTTCAGACTAACAGACAATAGTTTGAATTACTGTTGTGTTACAGAACAAGATATTGAAATTTATAGTGATTAAAACATTAATAAAAAACTATGATTACTCACGGGACATTTTTAAATTTTGTTTTTAATAGCTTTTTTCTCTGAACCTATATAAAATAAAATACATTAAGTGGAATTAGGAACTTACATGTGCTGAACTTAAAATTAATTTGCTGTAGCTTTATTACAAGATACAGATATATTTGGGATATAAATAATTTGTTGATTACTCACGGGACACTACGATTTTAATATAAATTTTTATTTAGATTCAAAAAAATAACATAATATTTGATAACTAATAGTTCAATTCTAACCTCAATTTGATAATTACTAAAATTCCTAAAACTATGAAAACTTGTTGTATTTGGTACTCTTGTAACTAGATTCCATTTTCCATCTAATTTAATTTTAGCTGCTTCAATTTAATCGGAATTTATTAGGATTATATTAATTTTCAATTCTATAAATTTATAATTTTTAAACTTCAATTATATTAATTTTCAATTCTTAATTTTTTAATTCTCGGCATGTTTTTTAAGATACGCTTGCCTTAAATTTTTGTCCGCATTAATTTTGTCTCGATACTTTTTAACGTGACTCCTAACTCGTGCCTACCTCTCATGATTCTTAATTTTTGCCATCCTTAAATAAAAAGAAACCTATGACCGTTATTTTGTATTGATGTTTTCAACAATTATTTTTAAAAAAAGACGATATTAAGTAATAAGTAATAGAACTGGCGATAAGTCCTGTAATGTTAGTAAAATTATGTTTTTTGATATTTTTGGTAAAATAATAAACGCATTTCTTTAAAAAAGCACGTTTACAGCAAAATGTTATGCTGCATATTTTAAACAAATTTAAAAAAAATATATTTCCAAGAATCTTAAAAAACTAAGTTATAGTACGTCTGCTGGATCTGTGTCTATGAAAGGAATGCGGACAAAAAACATTTAAAGAAACAGCAATATATTTTATACGTCGATTTGACGAGTGCGTCACCGCAAATCGCTCCGCCCACTCATTTTATTGGCTACTTGCAAATTTGTCGAATTTTTATTGATAGGACGCGTCGTCTATTTTTTTACGAAAAACATCGAGAGAATATCGTTTCCCCTCTCACGGATACCCCGTACCTACAGAACGGACAGACGTACTGTATATTGACAATACATGTTAACCAATATACTATAAGTTTGGTTCCCTTTATACGGGTTTTCTATAGAAATAACGACACAAATATAAAAACTTTTCTTTTTTGATTACTCACGGGACAAAAAGTTGAGCTATATTTGTAATTAAATTAAAGTAATTTTTACTTAGATTTGGTACAAACATACACCAGTACACAAACGCTTGACAACAACAGTAAATGACGCGCACCAGGCCCAGAGCTAGCGTTCTTATGTTTTTCCATGGCAACTCTTCATATAAAATGCAATTATTAAAGATTTTTTGCAAACTAATTCTAATAATTTATCCCTAACTTCTTTCGCGAAATCTGGCTAACTTAGATAATATAAGATAATTTTTTAAGAAATTTGATTTTTTTTGAGGCGTACGATGAGAGTTTTTTCAGTAATTTAATCACTTAAAATATATAAGAAAATTAACGTCGTACATGGAATTGCCCACCTCAGGTAAAACTAGTTATATTGGAAAATTGGTCTGAGGCAATCCCAACCAATTTTTGATAAAATTCATCAATTTTTGATAAAAAAAGTCACGCCACCGTCACGCCACTGATAGAGCCAAATGACAGAAAGATAGACAAAACTCAACCGTGTTGTCATATTTATGTACACATATCTTTTTAACTCTCATAAAAGTGTCAAACCATGTATGATTCTAAAAAATTGAGTTTTATGAATGGAGTGTTCTGTCTACCCATTTAGATGTCTTTGGTTGTATCCAGAGAGAAAGCCCAATATTCAGCTTATAAAACAATCAACTTTTGATTTCTAACCACAATTTCTCTTGACGGAAGATAATTAAAGGCCAAAATGACATTTCTCGCAAAGTTTGAAGTATAATTAGTGGAAAAGTTAAAAGTTTGATAACTTTTTCTACTCATTGAAAATGTCTACCATTAATTTTGACATTCTGAACGCTTACATTGAAATTAAAGAAACAAACTTCTACGCTAATTGAAACCACTAATGTATTCCACTAATTGCGAGGTTCCGAATGAAGCTTTAGAGAACGTTACCCACCTAGGCGATGATATGGAATGGTAGGGCACTTCAGTGTTGTGCCCTATGAGGTCCTGGTTGTTCTCCACGATGCCCCAGGGTGCGATGCCTAGCGTGTTGACCCTGCCTGTCCTTTGCGACCTTTCTAGCAGTAAAGCGTCGCCAACGTGTTTTGTCACGCCTGAAATAGAAAAAAGATAAATGAATCTCAATAAAACTGTATTATCTTAGACGTTTAGCTGAGATAGAACTGCTCGCGTCGTAAAGGAAAAATAACAATATTATCCTAAACAAAATAAGTAAACAGAAATGTTTTAATATATAAGTAACATTTTTTGTTAATTTTCTCTCTACAGGGTGGGCAAAATTGGACAATTGCAAACGAAAACACCTTTTGTTTTCTATAGAAGATAAACTAAAAATAATATCGGTGTCTGGAGCTCAATTTTCATCAAAAACATGATGGTGAAAATCACATATCGATGTCTGTTACCGTTTCGTACTGTTACCGTTTCGTAGTTAGTTTTTCAAAAATGTGCATTTTTAACAAATCGCTGTAACTTTTTTGCTAAGGAAAATTTTGTATTTTTATGAAAACATTTCCAAAGCACGTTTTTACAAAGACTTTAATGGTTTAAGTATATTTTTTTTAAAATTAAAAATTTAAGAGTTATCAACAGAAAAATTGAATTTTTATTTGGGACACCCTGTATATTTTTAATTCACTCATAAGAACTTAAAATTACCTTTCCAAAAATATAGCACACTTCATATTTTGTTCGGGTTCCCTTAGAAATACAGAATTTTTACACAGTAAGTTCGCCCCTTTTAACTAGTAGCACAGAATATCTAGCTACGCAACAGAAAAATACTCGAAATGAAAGAGCTAAAATTGCACAAATAGAATACTAGATGGCGCGACAATATCATAATCAGAATATAATTAGAAATTTTTTTACAGGCTTTTAAAGCCTGTCTCCTTTTGCTACCTACAATTTTATACATGTAACGAGGCTTCTGTTGCGTAGCTAGATATTCTGTGCTAGTAGGCTTTGGATCCCTTATTGATGATCTACCCCTAATGGAACTCCAAAACATATTTATTACAGCAAGACGAAGCGCCGGCACCGCCTCACAGGCTGAAAATATCAGCAATTTTTTTTCCAGCCAATTTCGAGAACAATTGAATAGCTAACCAAGGTCCCAGCCATTGGCCGTCGAGGCCGCCGGATTTAGCGCCTATGGATTTCTTGATCTTTGAAGAAGACTAAAGGTTGTTATTTTTAAATTGCCCGTATACTGTAGACAACAATTAGAAGTACTTAGCGGTTATGCGAGGGTATCTTTCACACTCACTGAGTTAATGAATTTCGCGAGAAATATTGTAACGTTTTTAGTTCGTTACATGTCTTTTTTATATATAATATATGATGTCTGGCCTATCATCACCGGATTCCCTCTCGTTCAGGCTGGATAGTTTATTTGACGCGTAATTTTTACGTTCCCTAGTCGCCAACCCTGTTATCGTTCGACACAACCCTGTTATTGCTCTGAGGAGGCGCTGTCAACATCGCTTCTGTCAACTGTCTCCGGGCTTAACCTCACTTTGTTTTGACGCTCTGTTGTATCGCAGCTTTTGGAAATGGTGATTATTTAAGTTCTTTTCAGTGAATTAAAAATATACAGGGTGTCCCATATAAAAATCAAATTTTGGGTTGATAACTCTTAAATTATTAATTTTAACAGAATTATACTTAGACCATTAAATTTTACGTAAAAAGGTGCTTTGGAAATGTTTTCATAAAAATACAAAATTTTCCATAGCAAAAAAGTTACAGTATTTGTTAAAAATGCATATTTTTGAATTCTAGCTCCTTGGGTGGAACTAGTTCCTTAGTTCTAGTTCCTCCAGAGGAATAGTTCCTTGAATTAGGTCTTTAGTTCACAATAGTTCCCGACTAACATTGACATCCCTATAGCTTTCGTTGTCAGTCAGAACTATTCACAGTATGATCTGTATAATATTTAAAATGTACGAAATATAACGTGACGTGTATATTACAAATATATAGGTAAGTTTTATTGCAGATAAAAAAAATTAAAAAAAGAAACTCAAATCAGAGTTTAAAAAAACTATATCACAAATCAATTGGAGCAAATAATACGAAAATTTTACGAAAAATTGCATTTTTCCTCAGCTTTTTGTTTTTGTCTAAAAATTCAGAATATCTACTTCGTTTTATAAGATATTTCTTAATTTTAATAAGGATCTAAAGTGAAACACACCCATAAAATATTCAAAGAACAAACTAAAAATCAAAAACAGTATCCACGACAATTTTCTGTGGTAATTACGCCGGCTGTGGCAATAGACAAGGCTGAATCCATCGTCGTCGCCTTGTATATGTCGGATCTGCCGATTGAATAGAATCCCGTGAACTAGTCTTTTAATTAGTTCCTCTAGGTCCGGATCCGATAACATACGGCTGGCACTCCCTACTCCTGCCTAGCATCAATCGCGCTGGCCGAGCCGTACGTAAACTAGTCTTTTATTTAGTGCCTCTAGTTCCTTTAGGTCCGGATCCGATAACATACGGCTGGCACTCCCCACTCCTGTCTAGCTACGATCGCGCTGGCCGATCCGTCGCCGTAGCATATTATTATATATCGGTCATAGTCTCGATCGAGGAACTAGTTTTTTTAGTCGTAGCGGTAGAACCCAAATACAAGAAAAATGTTTCAAATAATGATAGAAGCGAAGAATTTGAGAAAGCAGGAACTAGATCCTCTCATTCCGGGGTCGGAATAGTTCATTGGAACTAGTTCGTTCACGAACTACACACCTCTACTTAGCGTGGTACAAAACTTGATGACGCAAACAACCGTTGTAAAAATGCTGAATCTGTGTGGACAGCAAGCATATATAAACTTTGACAAGCATTTACAAACGTTTGTAAACCTGTTTGCCAATGTTTCTTTGGTGTGTATGCGTCTTAAGTAGCCAATATTTTTACACATACTGTACATACACATACAAATATAGCAAAACGAATAATATGTTCCTAGAAATCCTTTGTCCGCTTCCATTATATGTGACAGATCAAGCCGAAACTATTTTCACACTAGATTTGACAGGATAGGCGATAGAACCGAAAGCCGCACGGACTAGAAGAGATAAAATCCGAGAAGATTTACCTTCGGGTCCGGATTTACCCGCACTCCCCCTCCTCACAGTAAGTTGAAGAGAAATTGCGTGTGAAATTGGGTTTTCAGTGATGGGTGTTCGTGACATATCGTAAAGGACTGTACACACTAAACCTGGTTACTATCTCTTGTAATAAAATTAAAGGGGATTAAGGATGATTTTGATAAAGCATGTCCCAAAACGAATTTAGAAACAACTAAAGTAATGTACAACGAACTAGTATACAGAAAAGACGTTCTAATAAACAACAAAACTGGAAATAGTAGAAGAATACATATGTTTGGGACAACTAATACACAGCTCGGGATCTCTACTACCAGAAATCAAGCGAAGAATTAAGTTAGCATAGACTAGTTATGGAAGAAACCCAATTATTATATTGTCACGGATTCCGTGGGTCCACTAATCTAAACTCACGATAAAATACTTAACGAATTTATTTGTCTTCTAAATTTACTATTTACACACAATTTATACTAATTAAACACACAACTAACTATTTATAAAATTCATTGAACCGTCCAATCAGATCAAAGGAGTAATCGTCGTAGATCGTGCGTTATCGATAATGTTCGGTGCCTGGAGAAAATTGACAATTGACAAGAGAATTGTTTATTATTTTTGACTTTTTAGTTCGTTTAATTTAATAATTACTAAAACCAGTAGTTCGAAAGATATATTTAAAAATAAAAGATAAAAATCCAAAAAATTAATTATCTATTAACGTGGATTTGGACGACAATAGGTAAGAACACTAAATCTATTTCTATATTCAATATAAACTTGTTTATTAGGTTTTTAGTTTGTGATGTTTCATGTGATGATCATTTTCATGTTCATCGTCTTTGAATTGACATGAGGATATCTATGGAAAAGTAACTAATCTGAAAGTAAGCCAACATATCGTTTGTCCTTTGTGTGCTAAAGAAAAGATTTTCTTTTCGCATCATGAGGAAGTATTACATCAATTAAAAAATGTTAGGAAGTTGATTACTTGTCATGGAAAAGTATACCAATGGAAATTATTTGTTAAAGAAGTATAATTCTAAGGGTAAATTTTATTATAATTAGTAACCTGTCTATTTTTTATACGTAGATGTTTCAGGTTTTAAGAATAAATTGGTTGAACCCAAAATCTGGAGGAAGTACCTATATCCATACACAGAATATGCCCATTAAAAATACTAGTCCAAATTTGCTTTAATGGTAGACAATTATTCAATACAAATTAACTTTTTAAGTGACTGAAATATTAAATAGTTTAGAATATGGTATAACAATGTAAAAAAATATTATTTTCAGGAACGATTAGGGCCCGATATATTTGAAACTCATGTTGGACATAGTATTGAGTTGGGTAGAATATTATTCTACGTTAAGTGAGGGTATCAGATACCTATTATTGTACTGTATTTTAATATATACATTAGAATTGTTGGTTTTTTCATATTTGTTTTATTTATTATTTTACTTACAAGTTATATAAAGTTAACACTAAAATCTACTTTTTGACTTATATAAGTTAGTCTGTGGTTTAATGCGTGATTACATCCACATGATTTCAAGTTTTTAAAATATAAATATTATAACTGGCTTTAAAAACTCCATTAAACTGTTAAAAGTGTAATTTATTTCAAAATAAATATACATATATAGGTATATATTAATATCGAAAAACATTTTTATTTCCTTAACACCAATTTAATCATCACATACATATGTATAAACATTTATTTACGTTATTTCAAATGAAGACCACAGGAAAAACCAGCTTTGTTCATTTTAACTGGAGCCGAGAAAATGCAATTACGAGTGAACTACTCTGGTTTTTCTCCTGTAGGGCAAAATAACTAAGCTGTAATATCTCTGGGACTAAGCATATTATTATTGCTTTCTTTGATGGTGCCTCGAATAATGCTAACACTTGCCTATAAAACTGTCTCGCTATCAATTTCTATAAAAATGTAACATATTATCTGGTTTTTTTCCGTGTAGTCTTCAAATGATCTAAAAATTCAGCAGGAATAATCCATTATGCAGCAAACACACTGATGTTGAATCATGGGAAGCTTTTTTGTGGGCATTTCACAAATAAAATGAAATGTCTGATCAAAAACTGAAAATGCAAAACAGATAGTAAGCTTTATAAATACATACATATATATAAATAATCATACCTACATCTATTTATGTCGTACAATCCAACCGATATTTTAATATCCTAGCCCAAGTAAATAATCAAAAATGCACTTTTTATATCAAAAGCAGTAATGTTATCAAGGGTTCCAATTAATATCCAGGATTTAAAAAAAAACACGATCCTAATTCTTATTATTTTTCTAAATACGTATTGTCTGATAGGCAATTACAAAATCTAAATCTGATGTAAATAGAAAAATAAAGTAAAAACTGTAAAAACAGGTAAAAACAACAACAAAAATTCTAACCAAGGATTTAACCGTCATACGACATGAGCATTACGTGATTGCACAATACCCAACGATAGGGTACGTACCTCTTTCATCTGATTGGACGGTTGGTTGCGTATTTTAATGTATCCTGGTATATTCAAACTTCAGACTGGTCCAACTGCCAAAGCGCGGGCCTTATACAGGGTTGTTCACCACATACGACACAGAGTATTGTAGGTGTAGCTAAACGATTAGATTTTTACAAATTGTAAATTTTCGAGAGTTCGTTGAAGGACTATTGGAGCTACAATTTAAAAATATTTTTATAAGATACAGAGTGTCCCAAATAAGTAAAAAATATCAAAGTTGTATTTTTTTAAATGGAACACCCTGTATATTATTACATTTTTAGTTTCTACGATTAAAATAAAGGTAAATTTGATAAAGGTTTATTACACTTAAACCTTACCGTTTTTGAAATATTTTAAATTTTGTGAAATTGCACTCAAAATTTTAAGGCTTCATTTCTCCAAGGGTATCAAAGTTTTTAATACTAAATATTTACTGAAGTTTATTTATTGATCAGTTATTGTGTTACAATAATAAAAATTATACTACCTTATACAGAGCGTCTAAAATTTTATTTTAAATAATTACTAGTTTTAAACGGCAATAACTTGTTTAATTTAAATGGAACACCCTGTATATTTTATCAGAATCAGATGCACAATTTAATTGTCTATCAAATTGTATTATACCATTTTTTACCTATAGCTTTAAGTTTCCGTAGAAAATGCATTTTCTTGTAATTTTAAATTCATTTATCAATATACCCATGGAATACTGACATTTTAGATTATTTTTAAAGATGTACAAAATTTTTAAAGAGTACAGATATTAATATTGTCGATATAGTTTGTTTATTTCATTAACAAATAAAAAAAAACTGTTTAAATATTTGTTAAAGAAGACCAATTAATATGATTCCAGTATTCAAACTACATTAATTGACTCTTTGCGTTGATTAATAATAATTGCTCCAAAAACTAAAAAACTGAATTTTTTATGTGTATTAGACAGTGTGGTAAAAAGTAACACCTTAAAAATGATATTTCATTTTTTGACAAATGCTTATTTGTCACAACAGAGACATTCATTTTTATAACTTATTATTATATTGATTTCTGATTCAAATACACATTTATTTAGAATAATTTATTCACGAACATAATTAAGAATGTAATTAATTAGTATTTGGGCGGAAATAATGGTGGTATATTGTCAAGGATGGAATTATTCGATATATAAAATAACATATTTAATATTAATATATTTCGTAAATTAATAATTCGATTGAAAGGAAGTATAAAATAATTAAAGTTCATTGGCATTTACGCAACAAAAGTAAAGTTTTAAAAATCAAAGTTATAAGCATAATTGGCAATTGCGAAAATATTTCCTTTCAATACTACGAATTTATAAAATCATCAAATCAGCACTAACGCGGTCATCGCACCGGTCATCGCACCGATAGACCAATAATGCTGATTCGATGATTCGACGTAACGAACCAATAAATACAAAAAATGTCACCTGTTGGGGGACAGTCGATAGTCGATAGTAAGTTCGATAAGGTCGCGGTCGAGATTCCGGCATTGGCGTTGCACTACCCTGACACTACCCCCGAGCCAGTGATGATGTTCGTCCATAAATATAATATGTAAGTACACATTTAGTTTTATAATTATTTTATTATTCGTAGATTAATTAAATTGAAGTATTTATTATTTGCTATGCCCCTAGTCATAACCCACAAAATGGGTTGTGACAATATTTAATTAATGGTATACTCTTTTATAAAGATTTAAATAGTTTTCTTTTTGTATACAAAAAGGCTAGTAATATTATCATTTTGTTACAAACGATAATATTACTAGCCTGTACATTTTGTACATTTGTTGCTTTAAAAACAATCTAAAATGTTAATATTCCATGGGTATATTGATAAATGAGGTCTAAATTATAAGAAAATTCATTTTTCTACGACAATTTGATAGACAATTAAATTATGCATCTGATTGTCCTAAAATATACAGGGCGTTCCATTTAAATTAAACAAGTTATTGCCGTTTAAAGCTAGTAATTATTTAAAATAAAATTTTAGACACTCTGTATAAGGTAGTATCATTTTTATTATTGCAACACAATAACTGATCAATAAATAAACTTCAGTAAATATTTAGTATTAAAAACTTTGATACCCTTGGAGAAATGAAGCCTTAAAATTTTTACTGCAATTTCACAAAATTGAAAATATTTCAAAAACGGCAAGGTTTAAGTGTGATAAACCTTAATAAAATTTACTTTTATTTCAATCATAGAATCTAAAAATAGAATAATATACAGGGTGTTCAATTTAAAAAAATACAACTATAGCATTTTTTACTTATTTGGGACACCCTGTGTCTTGTAAAATTATTTCTAAATTGTAGCTCTAATAGTCTTTCAACGAACCCAAAAGTTAAAATTTGTAAAAATCTAATCGTTTAGCTACAATATTCCGTGTCGTATGTGGTGAACAACCCTGTATACCCCCTGGCGATTGTTTCTGGATCGTTCTAAAGAATTCTGTAATTTTCTTTTACTTTCTGGCGAATTCGCCAGGTTCCTCAATGC